TCTATTTGTTATAGCTCAATTAAATATCGATTTTAGAAATGTTCATATGTAAGCCAAGATTTCCATTGCTATGGCATTTACAATTTTTATATAAATTAATTAAATTAAAAGTACTAAGAAATATTTAGTTAATATTATTAAAAAAAATAAAATAAAATAAAAACTAGTAAATCAAACGAATCTTAACTCATTTACTATAATTTTTCGTTTATTTCCTTTATTCGATCTACAAGTTTTTATGATATTAGTTTTAATGAAGTGTTAAGATTATTATTTAAAAAAATATTGTATAAATCAATACTATTTTTAAATTACATACAAATATTTTACGAAAGTAATATTTATAATAATATTTATATAGCCTTAACAAAGAAAATCCAATATATGGGCTAAATTCACAATAGGTTTCACCACTTAACTTATGATTAGATAAGTTAAGCTAGTCTTAAAAGGCAATATCATGTTGCTTCGACCACGCTTAAGCGTTATTTACTGAAACCTAATTGGATTATGCTAAATATGGTCTAGTTGGGAGTGTGGTAACAGATTTCATTATGAAAATTACTAGACTAGAAACTAAGCCAGCTAGTGGGAACGGATACGGATGTGGATAAGGATACGGACTCGGTCACGAGATACTTCAGTTAATGTCCTGGGTGTGTCTGCTAGTTGCGCCTCTGTCGATATGAATCATCAGCTAGAATTTGGTGGCTCGACCTGGTTTATGCGGTGTCAGCGCGTTGCTGTTACTGTTGTTATTGTTGTTAACGGTAAATCGGTCAACGTCGTGGGGTTATCACTGGAATCTAGTGCAGCAAGTCAGCGAGTCAGACACAGCACCGAGCAGCACTTGGCTGCAAAATATGTGGTTGCAAACAATTTACGTAAATTAGCGCAATTACAGCTGGCATTCTTTTTTCATTTTTTTGTTTTTATTCGTACTGCATGTATCCGTCAGATACTTTCTAGTCTGAACAAACGGAGCCATTGAAACCGGTTTCAGTCTTGTATTTATTTCTTTTCCAAAGAGTTTCTGTTTATACTGTTTGTTAGTGTTTCACTGTTGTGTGTTAAATGTTGAATGTTGTTTATTGTTGTTTCTGCTTGAGACGTCAGCAGTTTTAAATTGTCAATAATAGTTGTCGCTAGCGAAATAAAGAGAGAGAGAGAGAGAGAGAGGGAGAGTGCGAGTATGAGAGTGAAACATTTTGCTGCAGCACACATGAGAGAGACATCGGCAGCAAGAGAAGTAATCAGAAAACGCAATTCAATCAAAATATGATGCAAAGTGTATTTGAGTTATTTACAATATCAAGAGTGAAGCAACCCGATCGAATGTATGCTTCTCTTTAGGCATTTGTCAAAATCGAGAACAAATCATTAATTCTGTCTCCATCTCTTTCACTCTCGATTATATAGCATGGAAGTTCAAACGGTAAACAATCTGCACAGCACCGCCGCTCTGTTGTCCTCGCTGCAAGGCGGCAACAGCGCCAGTCCGAATACAACACCCAAGAAGAGCGCCGCCGCCAATGCCGGCTCCGCTTCGTCCCAGCAATCCGCAACAGAAGTCGCCATCCTCGAGCAGCTCACCAAGAAGCAGCAGCAGCAACAGCAACAGCAACAACAACAGCAACAACAACAACATCTTGATGAACAGAATCGTGACTGCGACAGTCCGGCCAGCTCCAATTCGGAGCTGGAAAAGGATTTCCTTGAGCTGCGCGATCTGAACGGCTCCCTCACAGGCAGCGGTAGCGTTGGCAAATCGAATGGTTCGCTTAGCGGCGCCTCGTCCACCAATTCAGCGCCACCGGGCGCTAGTGCACGCAATGGTGGGGCAGGTGGTGGCGGCGGTGGCGGGGGAGGGGGCGATTGTGTCGGCAACATCAGCGCCAGTGAAGCAGCAACGAATGGCAGCGCCCTGCCGGCTGGTGCAGCTGGCGCGGCACAGTTCAAGAAACGTATCTCAAGCAGCCGCACGCCCACGCGCAAGGCGCACCGCATCAAGTTCTATCGCAACGGCGATCGCTTCTATCCGGGCATCACCATACCCGTGTCCAATGAGCGCTATCGTTCCTTTGAGAGCCTCTACGAGGATCTGACGCGTCTGCTTGAGGAGAATGTCAAGATACCAGGTGCAGTGCGCGCCATCTACAATATGGGCGGGAAAAAGGTGAGTGAAATTTTGCTAAAATACATATATACATATATATTTGAAATTCCATTAAATTTGTCTGCCTATAGATCACTGCATTGGATGAGCTGGAGGATGGCCAGAGCTATGTTTGTTCCTGCAACAATGAGAACTTCAAGAAGGTGGAATACAATACCAGTTCACAGCCGTTGGCCAATTTGACGCTGGCGAACAACAGTCGCTCCACGAATCATCGCTTGGCCAAGCTGCAGCGTCCCGCCTCGCCGCTAAAGAATGGCGCCCTAATCAGCAGCACCGGCAGCAACAATGCGCCGGCGTCCAATGGCGGCGGACCTGGCGTCGCCAATGGCAGTCCGCTGAATAGCTCACGTTTCAGCGAACGGAATAGTGTGGTGCATCCGCGCATCGTCACACTGATCAGGAACGGCACCAAGCCGCGTAAGATAATGCGGCTGCTCTTGAATAAGCGCAACAGTCCCAGCTTCGAGCATGTGCTGACCGCCATCACTCAGGTGGTACGATTGGATACGGGCTATGTACGTAAGGTGTTCACCTTGTCGGGCACATCGGTAGCGACGCTGGCGGATTTCTTTGGGCCGGAGGATGTGTTCTTCGCCTATGGCACTGAGCGTGTGAACACCGCCGAGGACTTTAAGCTGGAAGCCGATGAGCAGCGGGCCATCAATGCCATACGAAAGACACTACGCACAGCGGGTACCGCATGCAAGGGACCCAAGCCCAAGATGCCGGTGAAGAGCAAAAAGGTTTATTCGGCCGAGGCGGCACGAGCACGCGAAGCAGGCGCATCCGCCGCCACACAGGAGGACGAGCAGGCGGCGCTACTTAAGGAAACGGGCGTTGAAATTGGCGATCTGCCCGCCGCTATACGAGACAATTATACGCTGGATAAGATGATCGGCGATGGCAACTTTGCCGTTGTGCTTAAGATCAAAGATCGACAGACGGGCCTGCCCTATGCCCTCAAGATCATTGACAAAAGCAAGTGCAAGGGCAAAGAGCACTACATCGACGCCGAGGTGCGTGTCATGAAGAAGCTCGAACATCCGCATATCATATCGCTCATCATGGATGTCGATCAAGTAATAAACATGTACCTGGTCCTCGAGTATGTCAGTGGTAAGTCCTGGTTTGACAACTGAGAAAGGAACAACCATGAGTATTCGTCGCTTCTCCATTCCCAATCATGTATAAACCTGAATGGAATTAGCACACTTAATTGGAATGCTTTCTCCTTTATTTTGAACTAATTCTCAAAATATGCTAATTGAAATTATTTTGTTCTTTTTATTTTTAGGTGGGGATCTTTTCGATGCTATCACACAGGTCACACGCTTTTCGGAAAGCCAATCACGCATTATGATCCGACATTTGGGCTCGGCCATGTCTTATTTACATTCCATGAGCATTGTGCATAGGGATATTAAGCCAGAAAATCTACTGGTAAGTTAATTAATTCAATATGGCTGGCAGTATTTGTAATAAATGCTTCTTTCTCTATTTCGACAGGTGGAACTAGACGAGTATGGCAATGTTGTGCAACTTAAACTGGCCGACTTTGGTTTGGCCTGTGAGGTAACCGAGCCGCTGTTCGCTGTATGCGGCACGCCCACCTATGTGGCGCCCGAAATATTGCTGGAAGTGGGCTATGGCCTAAAGGTAAATAATTCTAATGCAACTTGTAACAGAACACGTTTGTAATGCTTGGATATTTTGCTTAGATTGACGTTTGGGCAGCTGGCATCATATTGTATATATTGCTCTGCGGTTTTCCGCCCTTTGTTGCGCCTGATAACCAGCAGGAGCCGCTGTTTGATGCCATCATTTCGGGCGTATATGAATTTCCCGATCCCTACTGGTCGGACATCGGTGATGGTGTGCGCGATTTAATCGCCAATATGCTGCAGTCGGATCCGGATGTGCGTTTCACCAGCGAAGATATCCTCGATCATTATTGGACAATGGGCAGTGAGGATAACGGTTGCGGCGAGTTTAGTAGATGAATCATGGCCGTTTGGGGTGTGTAAGCAGTCTCGCTACACCCCGCAAACCGTCATTTAGTAGTTTTTGTATTATGTAATTTAGCGCTATTCTATAGGCCTTAATTTATTATTTATACATATTAACACATAAACTACACACATTGCCGTTAAGAAAGAATAGCAACAACAAAACAACAACAACAGCTGCAACAACTGAATTAGAGAACTTAAGAATAATAACGTGACCGGCGCTGAATGATGTTGCGGACAGTTTTCTGAAATTCCAATTTCCAAACCGTTTACGGTTCGCTACTTTATATTCTTTTAACGCATATATATTTTTTAAAAGAAGGTACATATACATACATACATATACATATATTTTATTGGTATCTTTTAAAGTGTTTTTAATTAGTATTTTAATTGATTATAAATTATGAATAAATGCATGTTGTGTATATTTTCATAAATTGTTAATTATGTTTTCGGATGCTTTTGCTTTGTTTTACGTATATGTATGATTTGCTAGCACTTGTAATGTAAACGATAAACGCGATAAAAACAAACAAAAAACAAATACATACAATAAATAAGCGCATTTATACAAACACCAATAAAACTTTAGAAATATATATACAAATATATAAAAGAAAATATTCAAAACGAATTTCGAATGCAGAACTTTCAAGTTGGGCGGGTAGCTAATTAACTATCGATATGTACAAATTTCTGTTGGATTTATACTTGCGCGTGGGTGTAAACACAAGAATCGATATATATACTGCAGAGTTACCTTCGATTACACAGCTAAAGGCCAATGAAAGGGGTGAATGGCAAAAACAGCTGTTGAATGCAGAGTACGGTCACACTTTAGCTTAAAGATGTCTTGATAAGAAAGCGAATCCCAGCGAAAAAGCTTAGAAAAATGGCCGATACTTTGCCAGTTAATAGCGTAAGTGATTTATAAACATTTGTTTAACCGTTTCATAAGATGTGCCGTCTATTTAGGACTCGGGCACCGATGAGGAGGAGGAGATGGAGCCAAAGTTCAAGTACCAGCGCATTGGGAACGATCTGAGTAATATACTCAACACGGACGTTGTTACATGCAGTGCCATCCATCCAAAGGTAACTTTTAGTTAGTTTTCGAAATATTTAAAATGAAGTTGAGATCGTGTTGTAGTTTCTCATATTTGGTACATTCCGAGGGCGTGTCTACCTTCTGGATCACCAAGGCAACTCAGTGGACTCCAACCTGAGCAACGGGGATCGTCACACACATACCGTAGCTGTTAATCACATTGATGTAGATCCTAAGGGCGAATATGTCGCGACATGCTCTGACGACGGACGCGTGAGTCACTAAAAGAATGTTGATAATTGAGAGTACTACACAATGATGATTAACAATTGTAGGTCAATATTACGGGCTTGTTCAGCTGCGAGAACAATCAAAACCTCAGTTTTGGCAAGTTTATAAAGGCGGTGGCCCTTGATCCCGAAGTCAAATCGGGTGTGCGACGATTCATAGTCGGTAAGATAAAGACTATACAGAACTCCTCTCTTCACTCTTTATACTTGTGGATCTATTTTAGGTGATGACAAGCTCACGCTCTATGAGCGCAATTTACTCAAGAAACTAAAGCCCAGCGAATTGTGTTCTGTGGAGGGAAACGTTTTGGCCATTTGCTGGCAGGGTAACTTTGTCGCGTGGGCCAGTCATTTGGGCGTGCGCGTATATGATCTAAGCGAGAAATGCTCACTAGGCCTTATGAAATGGGAGGTTCCGGCAGAGGCACGTCTCGAAAACTTCCGATGTCACCTGCGCTGGTCCAATGCCAACACGCTGCTCATCGGTTGGGTGGACACCATTCGAATTTGTGTTATACGCAAGCGTAACAGCATTGAAGCATCTTCGAGCAATCTGCCCGGTTTCGTTGTTGATCCAAGTGCGTACAATAATTCCATGAAAATATTCCATCAGTTTTATAATATGTTCACATTTTTATCTTTGTCAGTCTCCACGTTTCAAACGACTTTCTACATTTGCGGACTGGCTCCGCTTGCTGCCAGCCAGTTGGTTGTGCTAGGCTACCGAAAGGATCGCAGTCCCAACTATAAAGCACAGCGGCCACTGCTGTGCGTCATCGAGTACAAAATGAATACCTCCGAAGAGGTGTGCACAGACAGCCTCACCTTGCGCGGCTTCGAGGAGTACACGGTCAATGATTACAGCCTGGGTTGCATCATTGAGGAGAATCGCTACTACATTGTAGCACCCAAAGATATTGTGGTGGCCAGCCTAATTGAAACGGACGATCGTGTGGAGTGGCTAATCGAGCACAAGTAAGTCAGCTAATTCCTTATTGTTAGCCTAGTCTAATTTTGGGTTACAGATCATCATAGTCATAAGTCCATCCAGTCCGATACAAACATTCAATTTCTTCATATTTCTTATACATATTAGCCGAATTCCTTATTCGATTTGAGCTCAGAGATTCACATTCAATCCTCCAATTTGATAATACTGCTGCCACAGGAGCAATTTATTTACATAGTAATTCCTGAATAAATATCTTAAAATGATAAAACATAATTTCTAGCTTTGGCAATGGAGCACTCAATTGTGTGCAATTAAGTTACAACGTTATCGCAGCATCTGTCTGCAGGCTTCGTCCAATCATAATAGTAGGAAACAAATACCCGCTGGCCGGGAACCTCATGGGTGCACAATTTGTTTGCATAGAGATCATCCATGTGGCGCTGATTGCGCTTGTGCAGCACCAGATGATAGGCATGACACTTTGTCGGCGTGTAGGCGGTATCGAAGCGTGGATCATGCCAGCGATAAACATGACGTAGTGGCGCCAACCAGGTGCCCAGGGATGCGTCCTCCGAGACATACATTGACAGTAGATCGGAATGGTTGGCTACATGCTCGCATAGTTTACGGGAGAGTACATAACCGCCGCCCAGGGCATAGTTTATGTAATTCTTGCTTAAATAATAATTGGGCTCACGCCAACGTCCTTTGGTCTTGATGGTAGCTCGTCCATTAAAATAGCCCCAATAGAGCTCTGGTTGCGGGTCATGCCCATAGTCTGCTCTGTTTCTCAAGAGTTTCCGGTCGTATGAGACGAGCTCGTTGAGCAGATTGTCCAGCTTCACATAGGTGTCATCGTCCACCTTAAGCAAGTAGGAGAAGTCGTAAAAACGCGTGAGCGCATCAAGCGATTGAATCAGCTTCTCAGTCAGATTCAAATAGTCATCGTGCAGGCGTGGTAGCAGTAGCAAATCTTTATTCTGCTGCTGCTCACGCTCCAATTCGCCACGCAGTATGCCGCTCATTTGCTGAGTTCCAATGGCAAAGAGATGCTTAAATTTGATGTTGCGTTGCACACGTGGTTGGTCCATCTTTGTCAGTTCCTTTTGCCACTTTATGTAGTGCATCAGGCGCTGCGCCTGCGTTTCAACCGTTTCCATTTGCAAATGCCCGCCGGCTTTACTATACTTTGGCAGGTAGATTTGCTCCTCGGGAAAATATGGTTGGTTTAGTGGCTGCCCCAGTCTCAGCCAAGTATCGCGCATGCTTTGCCGTAGCTCGGCATTGTCCGGTGCACTCAACACTAGTATCACTAAAAATAGATCCGGATGTGGCTCAAGTTTGACAACGCCACTGCGGTGTGCCGGACATTTGTCGACGGTGCTTAGAATGCGTGTAATAAAACTGCCAAAAAAGAACGCTGTTATAGCCGTAAAGAGCGTAACCAGGTTATTCATGCGACGCATTTTGCAGTAATAAATACAAATTTCCGAATAGCCAAGAAAAATGTGAGTTCTTGACGCCAATTTTATAAACAGCTGAGCGCAGATACTTCTGTCGGTCTATCGATATTTGCAAGAGTTATCGCAGCATATAAAAGGGTTTAGCTTATCGATAATTTCAACAGTCCGTGATGCACAGTGGTTATACATATTGTAAAATGTTTGATCGTAAATTAATGTTAATTCTATTTTTTTATACTCATTCACGAAAGTGAATCAGTATATTGGTTTTGTGCAATGTCCGTCTTGCTGTCCGTCCGTCTGTCCGTCCGTCCGTCTGTCCGTCTGTCCGTATGAACGCAATCTATTTCGGCGCTATTGAAGCTAGAGACTTGAAATTTGGAACACATACTCGTGTATATCTCCGATTTATAAAGTGTTAAAATTTTCCCGATCCGCCCACTAGGGGCGTGGCAAATCGATATACCAGAAATCATGTTTGTTGAAGAGCTAGAAAACTGAAATTTGGTATGTAGGTCTGCGTTGACCACCCAAGATCACGAGCTATGGCGGATATATCTACGCCTATTGGGGGCGTGGCAAATCGGATAAAACTGTATCTCCTAAAGTTGTAAACCTAGAATGCTGAAATTTTGCACGTCAGCTAATGGTATGATTCTATAAAGTCTGAAGATAAATTATAAATCTACGCCCATTGGGGGCGTGGCAAATCGGACCTGAAGATATAGTGATTTTTTAAATTCTCCTATATTTTGGACACTATTGATGGCAGAGACCTCAAATTTTGTATATATACTCGGACTGATCACCCAAGACCAAAAAGTTTTGTCGGATATATGTCCGCCCACAGGGGGCGTGGCAAACCGCAAAAGTTTATATCTCCTAAAGTATAATAGCTAGAAGCTTCAAATTTGGATAGTTGAGTTACTGGTAGCCTCCTCTATCGATTCCCCAAAAATAATTTTTACGCCTCTTTAGGGGCGTGGCATATCGAAAAATACCCTGTAATTTTCACCTTTCTTGAGGGTAAGCATTCAAACTTTGCAGTTAGGGTACTGTTATCTCTTTCTAAAAACTGACCAAAAATGAGGTGTCTACGCCTAGTTGGGGCGTGGCAAATCGGAAAAACCTGTATATTCTGCAGTATTAGAGCGAAACTTAACTACTAAATTGTTGATGGGATGTGAATGAGTATTCCGCAGTCGGTAACGCCCGACTGCAACGTTCTTACTTGTTTTTTTTTATCTTTGCAGCAAATTCGAAGAAGCCATGGAGGTTTGTTCACATGGAAGCACAATACCAATGCTCTATGTAGCTAGGTAAGAAATTAACGAAATTAAATTAAATAATTTACTGTCATCAGATGATTTTCAAAGGCGGTATATAAACCATTTGCTGACCATGAAACAGTACGAAGACGCTGCCAAGCTTTGTCTTCGTGTGCTGGGCAACAATAAGGCTCTGTGGGAGGAGGAGGTTTTCAAGTTTGTCAAGTGTCAGCAATTGCGTTGCGTGAGCGCATATTTACCCACCTCGGATGATTGTAAACTAGATCCCCATGTCTACGAAATGGTGCTCTATGAGTTCCTCAAGTTTGATGTGCATGGCTTTTTAAATCTGATCAAGGAGTGGCCGCCCAAGCTGTACGATGGCCTGGCTGTCATAAATGCCATACATGATCATTTCCGCAAACAGAATGCGAACGAGTTGCTCGAGTCCTTGGCACTGCTCTACTCCTACCAGGGCGACTACGAAAGCGCGTTGCGCATGTACTTGAAGTAAGCCACAGATCACATTATCTTTAAATTGTGTGTTGTAACTCTCAACTCTCTTACAGATTGCAGAATAAAGATGTATTTGAGCTAATACGGCGCTTTGAGCTGTACGATGTTATCTCTAAACTAATCATTCCACTCATACAACTGGATCGCGAACGTGCCTTTAAAATATTATTAGATAAGAATAAAATAAAACCAGAAGTGGTTGTTCATCAATTGGAACAGAATCAGGAGTACCTTTATTGGGTAAGTAATAGGAAACAATGTAGTCTATTCAATGCTGAACTCTACTTTATTTCAGTATCTGGATGCGCTAGATAAGATCAGCAGTCAGGGCACATTCCACAATAGACTAGTTGCTCTGTATGCCAAATATGATCGAACCAAATTGCTGCCCTTTCTACGCCGTTCTAATGACTATGTGATACAAGAGGCGCTGGCGATATGTAAACGCGAAGAGTTTTATCCAGAAATGGTCTACTTATTGGGTCGCATGGGCAGCATCGTGGAGGCGCTAAACATAATCATCCACAGCGTAAGTTTATAAGACTTTCAATATAACGTTTTGCTTAATGAATGCATTTACCATGCATACAGATAAAGGACATTGAGATGGGCATTGAGTTTTGCAAGGAGCACAATGATGAGGATCTTTGGAACATACTCATCGAAGAATCCACCAAACAGCCTGAAATAGTAACCAAAGTACTGGATGGCATTGTTGGTAAGTTGTGCGATTTGTGTTTACCATATTCAATTAGCTAAGGAAGCTCTTGATCTTCGTTTGTAGACTATGTGGATCCCGTGTTGGTTGTCAATAAGATCAAACTCGGCCAGGCAATACCGAATCTTCATCAATCTGTTGTTCAGATGCTGTGGCATTACAATCTCGAGGAGCAGGTGCACGAAATTGCCCATAAAATCCAGTTGACCGACTACTTTGACACACACGCCGAGGTAGTGGCCATGCAACGACGCGGGCGTCAGGTATCCTATGATAAGGTGTGTCCCAAATGCAGTCGTCCGGTGATCGTGAAGGACACTGCGCCGCCCAACGGCCTTACCATATTTAACTGTGGCCACATTTACCACAACAACTGCATGATCGACAATCGTTGCGACCAATGCTTGGACTGGGATAGCATATTGGAGGACGACGACTAATCATCATTGAAAGACAAAAACGACTGTAAATGGAAAATCTGAAAGCGGCAATGTGTAAATTGATAGCTTTAAGCTTTGCTTTTATGTATATGTTTATTTATTTATTAATTTAATACAAAATAAAGTCCAGTAAGCGAGAATTTATATTGTACGCGCTTCAGCAATATTGCTATATTATATTTGTTGTGTTTTTGCTATAACGGATAATTTAAAAATCGCAATGGTACTGTCTACTATATAATAAATGGCGGAGACAGGGACGAGAGACAAATTGGAAGAACAAAAAAAAAAAAACTTTTTTAAACACAGCTGAAAGAGTGTTTTTACCCACACCACACGTTTTTGCTGGCAGTGAATATAAGAGGAAGGAATGCTTTTTGTAAGAGAGGAGAGGATAGATAATAACAATCAGGAATACAACATTACATTACTTTGATTTTTTTTAAACACAGCTGTGTGTGTTTGTTTGTTGTTGTGACCGCCAATTGCCTTATACGCTTTAGCCTAGAGAGGGAGAGTGGAGAGGAGATAGAACATCATGAGGAGGAATACAATTCTGAGAGGAGGAGGAAGAGAAGAAATATTAGATTACTCACACGATTAATTTAAATTAGATGACTTACCGCCAAACTTACTTACTTACACAGCTTTTGCTGCCGTGAGATTCGAACCTGGGGGAATGTCACGACCCTCGACCGACCTGACACATAACCACTGCGCCATTGTAGCTCTTAATCCTCGACTTACAAAACCTCTTATATATACAGTATGCATTTTTTTGATAATTAAAAATTTTGGTCCTCGCTGGAAACTGAACCTGAGAAGTCTTGTTTAACTGGTCTGCACTGCTATCACTGCACCACCTCAGCTTGTTAATCCCGATCAGCAAAACTCTATTCAAGCTACATACATTTTTTTAGCATTTGCTCCACGCCGCAGACGCGACGTACCACGGACCTTTTGCGCTGTTCAAGCTTACTAGCTCTAAAAATATCGAGAAATAATACACTCCAGTTCAAGTAAAATACTTTTAATGGAATTTTTCCAACTTCAATAGTAGCGAAATAACCAATCTCATAGAGCGGATATAAAGAATAATTTAATTTGCATAGCCTAAACTCGAACACCCTTGCAAGGATATGAAGAATTAATAAAAACGATCTTTAATAGAAACTTACAATTTATGCATGACATATTGGCAATTGTTTTTTATTACAACTGTTTGTGTTTATTTCTTCTTTCACCCCCAATACACACACTCCAAACGATAGTCAAATGCACTTATGCCTCAGTCTCGGACTGAAGCTTAGCCACATAAGCAGCCTTGTGGGCGGCGACCTTGGCCTTGCGTTCCTCATTCGTCAGTTTCTTGGCGTTCCACCTCTTCTTAACTGGAGTCGACTTCTTGGCGACCTTCTTCGGGGTAGGATCATTGCGAATGGCCTGATGGGCTTTCTTGTAGATGTCCTCAATCTGTCAACAAATAAATGCAATAAATTCAAATTAGATCATTCAATTACAAAATATACAAATATCTTTCTTTATATTGAGAAATGTGCAACCGTTTCAGAGAATTCAACCTATTATTAGAGGTAGAGCCACGAACACGGGTTACAGTTTCAATGTGGTCCATCTTTGGCACAGACAGCGTCAGCAATGAATACGCAGCAGTAATTTTGAAAATGGACGTCAATAACTTATATCAAATACATATTATATACGATAGGTCTGTGCAACCGTTTCAGAGAATTCAACCTATTATTAGAGGTAGAGCCACGAACACGGGTTACAGTTTCAATGTGGTCCATCTTTGGCACAGACAGCGTGAACAATAAATACGCAGCAGTAATTTTGAAAATGGACGTCTAGCTCAGCTCATATCAAATATAGATTTCACTTACGTTGTCAGCGCGGATGCCCAACTTGATGTAACGGCTGAACTGACGCTTGAAAGCCTCCTCATCCTCCTCCTCCAGAGTGCGCATATAATCAGCCACATGCTGACCGAAGATATGGGCACGGTGCACATCAGCGTTGAAGCTCTTGGTCTCGCCAGAGTAGCCTGGGAAACGCTTCACCGAATGGGGGATGTTCAAACCACCATCGACAGCACCCTTCATGGCGCCGAACACACGGGCACCGGTGGTGGTGCGAGCCAAACCAACATCCAAGTAGCAACGGAATGCTCCTGGTCCATCATCGACGGGCTCAACGTTGTATTCCTCACCGGTGACCTCGGTGCAGCCAGCGTACAGAGAGTCCAAGCCCAATTTGTTGAGCAGACGACGAGCAACTAGCAGGCCAGTGCAGTAGGCAGCGGCATAGTTGGTCAAACCCACCTATAAAATTTGTTGTAAACATTAGCTTGCATGTTGCATTGCATTATAAAAATTTCTATCAATTTACCTGGATACCATAGTTGGGCAGCTCGTGCGAGTAAGCCGAGCAGACAACACGATCACCTTCAATGCGAGCATAGGCGATTTGGGCGGTGATGTCCTTGTTGGACAGGCGCACAATCAAACGGTACTTGGGAGTGTTGTACTTGTTCTTGTCCTGGAAGGTTAGACGCTTTCTGGCATAGTAATCAGTTTTACCCTCACGACGCCTGCGGAATTTAACCTGGTAGCGCTTGAAGTACTGCTTGTTCTTGACTACCTTGACGAAACCCTGTAAGCCACACAAAACACAAATTAATATTGGATATCAGTTCTGGCATGAAACCCACAAGTTTAATCTCTCAAATAAAGCTGCATCAATGGCCGCTTTGGTTTTGTTCGACATATTTTCACTTGGCAACACTTCATTTGAGACGTTTGTAGGGTTATTTCATTGATTGTGCTCACCATTTTTCACTTTTTAATGAAAATCAAACACCGACGCAAAATACGCGATGTCTTCACACGTAGGTGAAAAAGAAAAAGGAAGAAGCTGACAGGCCGCTTAGATGCAGGGTCGTATTTTTCAACGTTGACGTTTCACTCGCAGCTAACTTTGTGTGCGTATAGAAAATACGCTAGATGGCGTGTTGGTGCTAACATTTTTAATGAGCGCGCGGAAATTGATAATTTAAAAGTCTGGTGAATTTAAAAAACAGTATTACGTATTGTATTATATTTTAGTAACAATGACTCTAAATGTATTTGGGCATTCACTTCAAATTCCTCTTCAGTATTTTGAGCGCCATAAAACCGATCAATTTCATGTTGTAATTTCTGTGAAAAATAATTTTTTACTTGAAGTGAATGGATATTTTGAATTCATATTATATTTACCAAAATTTTTAAATGCGCCGCTTCGTCTCCTGTTGAAGGCTCATTTTCTGGATCCACATTCAAAAATAAATGTTGCTTGAGATGATACAATGCCGTAACATCTTCACTTTGTATGGTTAAAACTGTTTTGTTCTCGTCTACGCTGCTAGAAATGGTTAATTTACTATCTAGAAAGTATAAGTCTAGCATATTATTTTCAATCCTGACATTGGCATTACAAATATCAGCAATTTGCTCTAAAGAAAGGCAACAAGGCGACAGCATCTTATGCTCAACTTTAGGCATTTTCCGCTTGATTGGTTTAAGCAAAATATCTGACAACTTCGGTTTATTAAACAGATTTAAGGAGCAAAGCTGTCCACTAAATAGCGCGCGATATGTATCGCCGTGCTCCTGCACTTGAAATGGCAGCAGGACTGCGCTTAGTTGTGTGTGCAGCTCCAGAAACGCAACAAGTTTAATCGTAAATTCGGGCAATCGTTCTTTGAAAACTTTCTTCAATGGTATTATAATTTTACATTTGCGACTCAACAACAAATCCGTGGGTATTCGATGCACATGGACATTATGTCCGTGATAGACCATCAATTGCCAGTGGCTGCTATTGAGCAACTTTTGGCAGTCATTAAACCTTAGCTGCAATATAGCATAAATGCCAGTGCTATCAAGTTGTGCCTGTCTGGCTGTATGCAATAGCAGTACCTCAACTCCAAAGAGTGGCAGCTGTCTGCGGAACTCTAACGTTGCTTCTAAGCTGCCCTCAAAGCTGGCTTCGTTGCGAGCAACTGCAACCAGTTGTTGTTTTTCATATTCACGCTGTATTGCTGCCATAAGTTCATTTGGTTGTTTTTCATATTGCTGTAGAACTTGAGCATTGCGGCGCAGTTGGTCCATGGCTGTCGGTGTAAGATCACGCATGACACCAGGCTCCGTGTCCGCACTTTCGTCTGATAGCTGATCCACACTAAATGCGATCCGATAGAAAATGTTATTGTCGCTGAGGCACACGAGCTGCTCAATGTGCTGCACCCAGGCGCAGGCTTGCATGCCGGGCACAGACTTCACACATCGCTGCACCTGGCAATCATCTAGTTGGGCGTCATACTGGAATCTCAAACGTACTAGCTGCTCTCCATCCGTGTAGTAGAAATCGCCGTTGTCGCAGCTGGCATCAAAGTCTAACCACTCGCTGCCAGTATAATGCATCTGACGTTGTTTTATGCCTATCAATTGAGACATGTACCAAATGTCCACAGTACCGCAGCTCAGGTAAACTAAGCACAAATTCTGTGCGGGTAGCAAACGCATAAAAAGAACGGATGTGGTATATATGCAGATTAGCTCAATGTGGTAAGCCAGCTCCGTGTCCACATTTTCATCGTCATCCGCCTCCTGTGGAGTTAAAGCAAATATGTGACCCGCAATGCTGAATAAGTGTATTTGCTTATCAGCAACTGCTGCTGCTCCGAAGAGACACTGCATGAACTTCTCGTGCTCCTGCGTAACGGTGACCGTGAGCAAGGTATAGGAATCGTTCTGCCAATCGCATTGAAATATATTTTGTTCGTCATAAGTGATGTCGTAGCTGTACTGTAGAGTGCTATCGCCCTTGCCCAAACTGGGCAAATCCACATAAACTTGCAGCAGCAACTTCTGAGTATCATCATCGTAGCGCACCACGCTGAATCCTTCATGAGTGCGCGCAAAAGCACGCACACCTCTCAACCAGGATATGAGATGCAGTGACTTGATCGAGCCAAAACAATGAACTCGTCCGTCCGACATTAGCAGCAGGGTGTTGTATTCCAGCATGTGAATACTGCGCAGATGACTTCCCTTTGGTAGTGGAATGCGAACCTTCGTCATTTCCATTCTGTTGGTTTTCTTCGATTTCTTAAAGCGATAATTCAGCAAATAATATTCATTCCACGTAACGAAGACAGATTTTGTTTTGTTGTTACTGGATGAAGAGTGACATATCAGACCGCATGGCTGGAACAATGTGTCATCTTCAATGGACCAAAGTATATCATCATCATTTTCCACATTAACAGTTTCGATATCTTCGTCCACATCCATGATTAAATTTTTTAGGTTGAATAATATTCAAATGCAATTTAGCGAAATAATAAACATACGTACAATGTGACCAATATGCATATAATTTGAAGCGGCATTTTAAAACCGCGATGACTATATTTTAAGTATCGACAAGTGTTCATGATTAAGCCGGTAGAACACATATTCTTTTTAAACATGACCGTGCAATATAATTATATATGTTTAATATCTTAGAGCTTTATCCACGGTTATTAATCGTTTTCTTAGAACAATAAGAAGAGACATTGCATGTTATATTTAATATTAAGGTAATTACTCTATGCCTGCATATGCACTATCGGTAACTTTTACCCATCACTATTTGACGAGTTGGACAACGTAACGACTTGACCATTTTTAAAAGTAAAGCAAGTGGACTATTTTAAGTAGCTGGTAAAGCACCAGTAGCAATGGCTTTATTGATGCGCTTGTGTCAGCGCAGCTATTCAACAAAGCTCAAGGATCATCAAGCGGCTCTGATGGCGCGCAGTTTACCCAAGCGGCAAGCACTGCCCGGCGTCAACAACATAATTGTTATAGCATCTGGAAAAGGTGGTGTAGGAAAGAGCACTGTAGCAGGTGGGTGTTGAATATTTGAAGTCAAAATAATGTACTCAAAGTAACACATTTATTGCAGCAAATTTCGCTTGTAGTTTAGCCAAACTAGGAGCGCGAGTTGGGTTGTTGGACGGCGATATATTTGGCCCAACCATTCCACTGATGATGAACCTCCATAGCGAACCTCGTGTCAATGACAAGAATCAAATTATACCGCCACAGAACTATAATGTGAAGTGTCTGTCAATGGGCATGCTTACGCCGCCTGATGGGGCCATTATTTGGCGCGGTCCGCTGGTAATGTCAGCCATACAGCGCCTGCTCAAAGGCGCCGATTGGAGTCCGTTGGATGTGCTGGTCATAGATACGCCGCCCGGCACTGGTGATGTGCATCTCTCATTAACACAACACACGCCTATTACAGGTGTCCTCTTAGTCAGCACACCGCACAAGGCAGCCATCGATGTCACAATTCGTGGCGCTGAGATGTACCACAAACTGAAAGTACCTATCCTCGGCTTGGTTGAAAACATGCGTTACTCCATCTGTGACAATTGCAATCATCACATCGAGTTTTTCAAACCCGTAACTGGATCTTCACATCCGAAGCTGCCAGAGATGCTCATCTCATTACCCTTAGATTCACATATAGCCGATTGCGGCGAGTCGGGCACACCTGTTGTTATTAAGCATCCAGACTCTGAACACGCAAAGCTCTTCAATAAGCTCGCGCTTCAGATTTGGAGTACATTGCAAGAGAAGCAAGAGACAAATGAAACAGCTAAAGATACAAATAAATGCTAGAAAATAATATTCGAGCGTCTGTAATCAGAACTATATATTCTTTAGTAATATGATAATAGCCGATCCTCTTTGGTTGAAAAACGGAATTCTGAAACTTTGACAGTTCAACTACAAATTCTTTGACTGATCCTCCATTATAAACTAGCTTTAATATATAATTTTCAACAAGTTTTTTTTATTTATTCTTCTTCAACTTCTTCATTTTCTTCATGGCCTTGCGATGGGCGTATTTATCTGTTCGCATTATCACCTCCTTATACTTTCGTTTATTAAAGCTTTGGAAGGCCTCATCCGCCAACAGTTCGTCCACCAGCGACTTTTTGGTCTTGCGTATATGTTTCTCTTCAAAATGATCCAGAGGCGAGGGCTGAACTGTGCCGATTTGGAAGTATTTTGGCAGCACCTTCAGATCATTCTTTTTGTAGAAATGTTTAGGATCCAGCACCGAACGCATTTGTATAATCTTCAGCTCATTGCGCATTTCATCAGTAACTTCTGTTGCCGGCAAATCAAACCAGCCGCTGCCCTTCGTCTTAGCACGTTCCGCCTGTAATTAAACCAAGTACGTTTCTGTAGACGAAATCATAATTTGGTGCATTCATTTACTAGGAGCAGCAGCACTCAGATTACTAAAGACGTCATCAATGTGGCAACAACGTCTGCCTTGGCCACTGCTGTGTTTTGGGGCGACAATAGCACTATGTTTCATTGATTAGTTAAAATTGTGCGCCCACGCCTAAATCATCTGCCTTGACTCGATGGCAAACAACAGTCTAGCGTTAAATGGCATTGCTGTTCCGTTGGCCTTACAGCAACCGCCGCATACTCCGAGGCGGCCGCTAAGATTACAGCGGACGAAACCTTGTGCTATTATCTGTGAGTGAGTCTCGGGTAACAGCAGTGGCCTCGAGCAGCAGACGTGTGCACTTGCTACGCCCATTGGTCGTAGCTTCGGTTGTCGAATATGTCATCATAGATGCTTCTCCAGTATAATCTTCCACCTCAACGTAGTTACTTACTCTGTTTAATATGGGCTGCTTGCGCCTGGACACTGTGGGTAATGCCTTCTGCTGTTCGATGCCGTTTAAGTCCTTCGTATTTTGCATATCTTTTTCGAGATTTATTTTTCGCACTTGTATATCCTCGCTCGTCTCGCTGTTGATTTCTGTGATCCTCTGACGCATTTGTAACTTGTGCGTGGCTGCATTTTGTGCCGCTTCGTTCACCATCTCAGTAACCTCATCAAGTTGGAGGGCTACTTTGGAAGGCAGTCGTTTGGTAGTTCCCTGTGCGGTAGCAAGAACTTTGCTAACATCTTTACACCTTAACTTGACGCCAAACAATTCCATTTCCTCATCAGCCTGCTCATCTTCCTCTTCGCTAGCCTCCTGATCAACAGCCAGTTCCCGGCCCTTGGAGATCTCATTATATACAACATCGGAATGTTGTAGACCATCTCCACTGAATAATTGCTGGTCGCCACAAGTGTCCACCACAAATAACGACGCCATTATTAAAATCTCGTTCACAAACTAAAATTACGCGCAACACATGTAGCGTCGACTATTGACGTCTGCCGTCGACGTATCGTTGTGACTGGTAAAATAGGCAATTCGCAAATAAATGAACAAAACCTGGGCACACTGTAAATGTTTCACACGTGTTTTGATTTCAGCTGCGAGCGTACGTTAGCAAAATCTTTTCGATAAGCATTGAAAAAGCCAAATATAATGCCAGTTTACTTAAATACGTATCCTCTAGAGTATTTTCGTTGTTGTTTAATTTATAAAACTTAGAAAGACAGGAAATACTCGGCAAACAGCTCAGCTAGTAACAACCAGCTTATTTAACATTTGTCGGACAAGCAATTGCGTATTATTAGGAAATAATACATTAAAAAAATAAGAAACAGCAGTTTGTCGTGCAATGTCTGTCTACAGTAGTAAAACGACCAACACATCCATACTGAAGTCCTTCTCCAGTGCGGATCGTGAGCGCATCAAGACAGCGGCGCTTAACAAGGTGCGCTTCATCACGCCCAAGGAAAAGGGCATCGTTGAATCGGTGCGTGTGGCATTGGAAGAAAAGAATTTTCATTTGATTCAGGAGTTTACATACTTCCTTCGAGAAGCTGATCTCTGTGTAAGTAAAGCAAAATATTATTGCATATTATATATTGCATTCAATTACGCATCTTGTTAAAGGATGAGGAAGTCGTGCAGATTATGAAAGATGCTCGGAAAATAGTGCACAGCTTGACACCGGACTTTGCCAATCTTGTTGAGGCCCTGCTGTCGGTTAACTGGAAAAAGTATAGCCCGGCCGCCATTCAAGCCTACACAGAATTTAGCATCGATGTTATGATCGCACACAATTCGTATATACAAATTGGCATAACCAAATTAATTTTAAATTGGATACCTAGTGATCAGGAGTCCGCGGAATGGCTGGAAGGTTGCCCATCGGAACGTGTGAAGGCTGAACTAGAAACTGTGCATAATTTACTCAATCGTATTCTAACCGCTGTGCCTATGGCTTTCGACGTGGTCATCGATACGATCGCAGCTAAATTTCCGTACTTTAAGAAGCCTGCTCATGTCACGGCTGGCTATTTGCATAATGTGCTGTGGCTGATGGATTACAAGCCGGTGTTCGAGGAGCTACTGCTGCAGCTGGTTTTGCAAAAGTAAGCAATTTCTGATGATTTATGTGAAGAGCATTTAATTTATATAATTTTCTTGGCAGACTCCTCATACTGGACGTAAATGCTCCACGCGATGAAATCGAAGCGCTCAAGGAGGAAACCGATGACGAAGACGATAAGATGGAAGATGAGGCCATATTTCAAATGGACGATGTGAGCGTTCCGCCTAAACCTCCACAAGCGTTAGAGCATCCCATTGGACAAATGCTGGACATATGCTTAATGAAGCTCTTTAAGTTTGTGGACGATAAATGCCGTCCGCAACCTGATTGTAGCGATGACCAGCGCGTTGCCAAAACTCGATTCTTTAAGACGCTTGTTCACATATTTGATGAAGTGCTGCTACCCAGCCACAACACACATCACGTCCAATTCGTAATTTTTCATGCGTGCAGCATTCGTCCAGCCTATGCAGAAATCTTTCTTACATCCCTATGGCAAAAAGTGCAGAATCCAAATGTATCTTCAATCATACGTCATGCAGCTGTTAGTTATATTGCCAGCTTTTTGGCCCGTGCAAAATTTGTGCCGCTGAGGTTGGTCCCTTGTTGTCCTGTTTGTAACTATATACTAAATTTCTTTGATTTCAGCACAATTACCTACTACCTTAAGGAGCTGAGCAACTGGGCAAATAACTACATTAATGACTCGGATGAATTCAGTAGCAAAAACTGCTCCCTCAAAGCTAACATGGTTTTCTTCTCCGTTTGTCAGGCCATGTTTTATTTAATCGCTTTTCGTGCGCGCGATTTGACGATTAATCATAAAAGTAATTACATTTGTTTAAACGGTGTACTCTTTGATATTAACTCGTATTTTTGTTTGTTCTAGATTTGACTTTGCTAAATACACTGCAGTTGTCCCGGTTGGCAATGTGCCACTTTAACCCACTGCGCTACTGCCTGCCACCGGTGGCAACCGCATTTGCGGGCGTCACACGTACCCACCAATTGGCGTATTGTCACACTGTGCTGGAGCGCAATGCACGTCGCAAGCTGGCTACCATCTATGGCCATGACAAGCTAATGCCAGAGGAAACACTTGAAACGTTCTTTCCCTTCGATCCATACATTCTGCCACTGTAAGTTGCCCAGCCAATTCGACCATATGAATGCGACTATTATTTTGGTCAATTTTGCAGGTCCAATAAATATATAGAGCCAAACTATCTGGTCTATAGAGTACATGAGCTGGAAGAGTCGGCGGAGAATGTTGCAATTGAGACTGTGCGTCGCAAGCGTGGCGATTCCGAAATGGTTGAGGATGATGACTTCATACTGGCAGATAAGCGCCAAAAGATCAGCGAACTGTCCAAGAGTCAACAGTTTGATAAACAGTTTTACTATGGTGCTTCACCTGGGTTCAACCAATAAGGAGTGGGGGACATAGATGTAATAGTAATTTGGTATTTATGAAATATAGACTTTTATATGTTATGCAAATTTGATCAAAGAATTAGTGCATTGGACGATGCATTCTTGTGCCGTTCGGCTCGCATATGCTCCAATCTGTGTCCTGATGTACGAAAGGTTTCGCCGCAAATTTCACATTTGAAGGGTCGTTCGCCGGTGTGCAACCGCAGATGTAGCTGCAGTGATGTCTTGGAGGCATAGCTCTTGCCGCACACTTGACAATTAACGTTGCTCCGCTGTGGCTGATGCGTTTCCAGGTGTCTGGCCAATGTGGACTTTAGGGTGAATCGTCTTTGACATACGTGGCATATGTGCAGCTTAAGCTTCGAATGAGTTAGCAAGTGACGGGCCAAGTCGTTGGGTCGCTTGAACTGTTTGCCACATTGCAGGCAACTATGTTTCATCTGTTTTGGGTCCACCAAACGCCGCAGATGCAGCAGCATGTGTGTGCGGCAGTTGAATTTGCGTGTAAATTGCTTTTCGCAGTAGATGCACTTGTAGCTGCGCTGCGACAGCACTGGCTGTGGCAAAAGTTCGATGAGTTTTCCTCTGATCGGATCTGCTTCTAGTTTCATGTGTGCCTCATAGGCAGATTTCGATTGGAAGGTTCGACTACAGTGCGTGCAGCTATGCACCATATGAGGATGTTTCTCAGCCAAATGTTTGTGTAGCCTACTCTTGCTGCTGAAACTGGAAGTACACTGGATGCATGCATGCTTTTTCACAGTAGCATGCAGGCGTTTGTTATGCTCGTTGAGCTTGCTCTCAGTGGCGAACCGCTTGCAGCACTGATTGCACGGATAGGGCGTCTCTTTGGTGTGCGAGCGACGATGCCTGGCAAGCACAGTTGCTTATTTCTTGTGTATGTGTGTATTCCTAGTTGTTAATCTTACCTTATCAAATCGTAACTCTTGCTGAATTCCTTAGCGCAATATTCACAGACATAGTAGCATCGATTGGGCTTCTGTCGCACTATGCGCTGTGTGATGAGAATATGGACTTCACCAGCTGGATTGAGCTTGTCCCTCAGTTCTACTACATTACAAGATGCTTTCTCTTCCAGAGTGCGCAGTGAGCCTAACGAACCTAATGATTTCATTTGGGTAGCAATCGCATTATCTGTAGGCGTATGGCTGCCTTGCAACAGCTTCAGCGCAGCCAGTGCATGTTGCGCTACGTCGGAGTCGTCGCACTCCTTTGCCACATCATGCTTGATGCGTTTGTGACGTAGCAGTGAACTTTTTTGAGAGAAGCGACTGCAGCAGCTTTCGCACTGCAATAAATTTATGCATCATAAGCACATGAAAAAATCCATGAAAGGTTTCTGAGCACATGGCAAAACTTACTGGAAATGCCTTGTCGCCACTGTGCACAGCTAGATGCCGACGGAGCAAAGCTGGCTTCATAAAGCACTTGCCGCATGTATCACAGGTGTTTAAACTTTTCGATTTTTCAATCTTTTTCATTTTATTTTTTCAGAATTATTGTCTTGCTTTGCAAAACACGAGCGACTCAACTACTGGAAAGAAGAAGAATGTCGATTACAGCTGTTTTCGCCTATTCCAATAGCAACCCGTTATTCCTGCATTTGCATTCACCCCGAATCGTACGAGAAAAAACAAAAAAGTTAACTGATTGTTTACGGCAATCATATAGAAAATCAATTCTATTTAAAACTTAGTTTAGAATTAATCAATCTACACTGTTACAAATCGTAAACAAACACATCTCTCTTCGTCGACTCCGCTTAGGCAACGAATTCGTATGGAATTGGCGCCAGGGCGATAGGTTCTTCCAATTTCTTGACGAAATGCGCCTTCTTTGGCTGCTCGGGCTGACGCTTGAGGTTCACCCATTTGCCGTCCTTCTTGGCAGCCTTGAGCAGACGCTCGTTCTCCTTGACGCGACGCAGGAAATCCTCACGGCACTTGGAGTGATGTACATGCTCAATGCGCACATTGATGCGCTTGGCTAGAACCTTGCCGCGCACACGTTTGTTTACAATGACACCAACGGCGTGTTGTGTGACATTGAAGATGCGGCCAGTCTTGCCGTGGTAGGCCTTGTAGGGCATACCCTTCTGAACGGCACCGTGTCCCTTAATGTCAACGATGTCGCCGTTCTTGAAAACGCGCATGTATGTGGACAGGGGAATGACACCATGCTTGCGGAATGGGCGAGAGAACATGTCTCTGGTGCCGCGACGGTATCCCTTTGAGTTGGTCATTTTGTTGGCTGTGGTTCCCTGCAATAAACAAACACTTTTAGCAACATTTCACACAATGTATATGTGCACGGCACACGCGAGAATATTTTAAGGTGCGTTTCAACTGCATTTTAATCTATTTTAATGCATTTTTCTACAAAATATTCGCTAACCTTTTACGTATCGACGTCCACGCGGTCGTGAAGTTGGGGAAAGAAAGAAAGATGGCTACCCGTTTAGCGTTGCCACACTCATTGTAATTTGACGTTTTCGCAGGGCTGGCAGTGCTGTGTGGCCCTGGTCAGAGCTGATTGGTCGATATATATTGAGTTTTTTTTCTTTTTCATTTTGATAAAAGTCGTGAGTTTCGTGCTGTCACGAGCTGGATTTGAATTCAATCGAGCGCCAATTAAGTATTTCATTTTATTAAGTTAAAAAAGTTTTACAAATTCAACAGAAAACTAATTAATATTAAATATTTGCTTAAGTTTGAGCACTTTGGTACACACACACATAATAGTAAATGTCATTTTAATATCTCGTTACATATAATTTATATTTTAACTATCGTATATATATGTATATATATAAATGTGTTATATAGGCATATATATATTTATATAACTTGTCCGTTTGTGTTCACTAGTATTTATTTTTTCACAAAAACTCTAAGAATGTGGCGTCACCTCATTTTGTAATTATTACATGATTGGAATATCAAAGAACAAACTATTAGTAACTTATCTGCGGGCATTTTTGTCAAATATATAGTAGGATATATGTAAGTATATATATGTATATTTAGCTTATGCTTTTGCTTATGCATGTGGTACGTATATATATAATAAATATTTTAAATAATTTCATAAATATATAAGTATCCCATATAAGCATGCGTATACTAATATATATAAAGTACATACATTTTGACTTCCACACAGTAAACATAAAATTTAACATTAATTGTTGCCTTTATATTAAATAATAATTAGTTTAATAGGCCATACTTGTTTCGTTTCGTTTGGTTGGTTGGTTGATTGGTTGTTTTGCTTTTCTCACCACTTTCCTTATCCTTTTCAGTTATATTATATTATATATAGTATATATGTATTCGTGTGTATATTATTGGCTGTTGATTTTTCTTTTTCTTTTCTTTTGGATTTCACAAATCCCACTACAAAAGCAGTCTCTCAAACAAATCCACAGCTATCCATCCATGCAGTGGTCACGATTCACGTTCCATTTCCCATTCGATGTCCAATTTCCGTTGCCATTATGTTAAGGCCTAAGCGCCATCTTTTTTGTTGTGCCCGTTTTCCAGCGGCCTCTTTGGCACACTGTCGCAGTTGCAATTGTTATCGTCCTTGGGCAGTGTCGACTGGTGCTGCTGCAGTTTCTGCTCCAGACGCGTTTTGTACGTGTACAATGACTGCAGCGGCACATGCAGCAGCTCCACAATCTCCGTGAAATTTATTTCTACAGGAAAGACGCATAAAATTAGAATAGATTCGTGAGATTATAGGAAGAAAAGTTCATACCATTCTCGGCTGTTATGTAGCCATGTCGTATTAAGAAATCGATAACCACGGGCGCCGATGTTGTCTTGAAATCCGGCGTGAATACGCGCTCCACACACTCGTTGGCCGGCAACAGCTCAAATGCCTGCACCTCGCCATCGGCGTTCTGTGGCACAAAGTCCACTGGCAGCTCCAAATCAAACACATATTCAGTATTGGGAAACAGACCCTGATCGCTCTCAAAAAAGAACGAGACACAGCCGGCTGAAACCAGATTCTTGACGAGATCTTTTGGAATGGATGCCTCCTCGGCGGCCTCCTTAACGGCCGTCTCCATAATGCCAAACCCAACGGATAGACCGCCGCCCACCATATTATCCCATTTGCCAGGCCAGGTTTCTTTGGTGTTGGAGCGTTGCTGCAGCCAAATGCACAAGCCGTGCTGCGGATGCCGAACATATCCATTGATGTCTACACCATATTTGCGTACGCCAAACAACGGCGTTGCCGCTCGCTCCATCTTCAGCAGTGCCTTGTGCTCGAACTTCACCTCGAAGCACTCATCCCGCCATCCTTTCAATGCCGAGAACGAGCCATCGCTGCGCAGATTACGTAATACTTCATCCAGGTGTACGGTACGTTCGTTATAGTCCCGGAATGCCGGATTCAGCTCAACCAGACCCTGCCAAATGTAATAATATATATGAATGAATATACACTTTAGATGGAACTATACCTATTATTGGTTAATATTCACCTGCTTGGTATATTGACAGTCACGTATGCAGAACACTTCAGGAAACTTGAGCAGCTGCTTGTAGACATCCGCTTTAATGAGACCGACTTGCTGACCCCCAACTAGAAATGGACGTATGTCATCCTTATGAAAGCCTGCGACACAATTAACGTTAATTAGACAAAGAAGAATTGCACTTGAAATGGCCCTGAGGTACATGTCAGCCTAATTGAATTGTAGCTAACAAAGAAATATCTTAGATTCGAATTGTAAATTTTATTATAAGTTTGCCGTAATATTGGAAGGGGTAATTTTTATGAAATTTGGGTGTGTATGAGAGTAAGAGTAAATTATCTGTGAGATTCAAAGGTATCTGTAAGATATAAAGTTTCTGTATATAAAGTCATTTTCAGACTATAATTGACTCATATCAGTGGACAAAGATTATTGATTAAGTATATGTATTACGAGAAGAAAATATTTAATAATAATAATAATAATAATAATATATACAGTGCTTTATAAACAGAAGTAAAATAAGATGTATCTAGACAATACCTAGACAAATATATTTATTTGTGGGCTAGGCAAACATTTCAAACTTTGTTATCACCAAAACATATGTTTATTACTGCATAATTATGATAAGCCGTCTTATATTCAATGCTCAATCAGTCTTTCAGCTGAAATTTGTTCAAAGTTTCATTAAGAGGAAACACTTTTTCCCACTGTTGAAATTTTAAAGTTCATTCTGGGCTCGATTGGAAGCAAACAGCACGCGCTATTTGATTAGATAAGTCGAAAAACCTAAAAGCTAATAGAAATAATAGTCAACTAATTAGTCTTAAGTACATTTTGTTTGAAAAGAAAAAAACACTTAAGAAATTTTGATATAGGGTATATTTTTTAATATTATATAGATGTATATTGTTTTTTAAAGTGGTTACTAAAAATGTATATAGCTTTATGAATGGGTTTTAAAGTATCTTTATTAAGATGCTATTTTTTGCACAAACAAAACAATACAAATAAATCTGAACAGCTGGTATTGCTATTGATCATATGTACATATTATATATGTATAAATATATGGATATGTTTTATTATCAGAACAATATACATAAGTATATATAGGTAGAATAGAGATTATTGTTTGCAATCGTTTTGATTGCCTTTCAGTTTTTTTTTTTTTTTTTTTTTTTTTTTTTTTTTTTTTTTTTTTTTTTTTTTGGCATTTTAGAAGTTGATTAAAAATAAATATTTATTTTATTGATATATAACTGCAATCGGCCTTTCTAAATCAGCAGCACCTATTATAAATGAAATCGAATATTGGCAATAATATTTTTTTCATAAAATGTGTGTTAAGTCACAAATATTGCAGATAATGAAATCAATATACTAGTTTGTGCCGGTCGGTGAGATCGTCGTTGAATTATAAATTGGTAAGCTCAATTATTGCGTCACTAGAATGGCGAGTTTATGTGCATATATAGAAAAAGAACAAAAAAGCAAACAAAACAACAACAAATAAACAATAAATGCTCATTTACTTTTCGCTTTAAAATCTATAGATAAACAACTTGAAATGCGAAAAGGCAGTTAAAGCAAAATTGTATATACAAATAAGATAATTCTGAAAACAATAATGCGATACCCTGTAAAATGTGGAAATGTGAGGAGGCTATCAGAACGAAATAGAACTCTAATTAGATTAGAAGTAAAACCAATTACGCAACGCAGATTACGAATGACATACGAATTTAGAATCCCAATAAGAATATGTACACGTTTTCTAATTGAATATTTGAGAAATAAATGTGAAACTATTTGATCAATTTACTGTAGCACATAAGCCCACAAAATTCAGGGTATGCAAATAAATAAAAACAAAATGGAAAACCAAAAAACGACAACAAATTATATTCAAATTCGTTTCGAGATTCATAGCAAAACAAGTTGAAATAGTTGAAAGCAAAACAAAATAGCATGCCGAATAGCAGAAAGCGCGCATGCCGCTTATCAGCGAAGACAGAGAGCTAAAAGTGGTAAATAGAGAAGAATACATAAAGAAGAATAGAGGGAGAGCGAAAGAGTGAGAAAGACAGAGGAAAAGAGAAGTGCTCTATCCCAATTAAGTGAGCATATGTATGTATGTTTGCCTGTGTATGTCACATTTTTTGCACTTAATCAAGCCATAAAAACATCTACATCTCTAAATATACATATATGTATATACATACACATATATCTGATTTTTATAGCAAGTATAGTTCGATGTGTTTGCGTATGAGCTGCTTCAGCTGTTATTGCATGTTTTGTTGTTGTTTTCACTGAAAATGCTAAAAGTTGCCCTCAAGGTGATGCGATAAAAATCTGGTTACAAGACCAAATCAGCAGCAACTAATTTGTAAAATTGCTGCGCTGCTATCCAAGAACACATACACACACACACACATACATATATTTGAATATTTGTATATAGATTTATAGATATTTATATTTATATAAAAATATATTGGTGACTAAGTTAGTCGTCTTAAATTAAAAACATTGTTATATTAAATATATGTATATATTACAAAGCGCTTGCTTGATAAATATGATCTTGCATAAGAGCCGCTTGTTTATTTAGCATTTGGTTTAATTGCAATTAATGTGTATGGAATAATAAAGTGAAATCCGATAGAGCACAGCTGTTGAGCTGTGTGCGACAGCGTTTATTACTGCGAAAACCTGGGAGGGCAATAGTCGGTGTAGCAGCAGCAGCAGCGTGGTGGTAAACAACCAAATAATTTAGTGCTATCATCGGATTACAAGCGTCAGCGCAACAGGTGAACTATCGAACGGAAGTGGGCCGATCGATAACACTCATTAAACTCAATTAAATACTTAGGAAGATATGATTTTTGGCTAGGCATAAAAATAGCCAAAAGGAAACTAATTTCAATGTCAATTCACTGCTGATTGGATGCTGCGAAACGAACTGGCAATGAGACATTTGCTGGCAGTCGCAGCAGCACCAACAGCAACTGCACACAAACATTCATAAACGCAAACACACATACACACTCGCACGCACACTTGCAAATGTAAGTAAACAAACTAATCGATAATTTGCACTCTTTTGCTCTCGCTCTTACTGCACTTGCAGTAAACGGTATAAGCTGCGCCCAATGTATTGGCGCCCAAGCCGCCCACAATGTGCGCTAGTGTGCTTTGTGTGTGTGTATGAGTGTGTATGTACAGATTCAGTGGCAGCCAAACCCATTTTCATGGCCGAAAGGCGAACGCCAACGGAGAGCCAAACCCAAAACAACAACAAAGAGAATTAAGACGCTGATGAATTCAGCTGTATTACTCACCTGTCAAGTAGAAATTATTAAACTTTTGCGCTAGTCCCAATAGACGCGACAATTTTACCTCGGTGGACGACATGGTGATGACGGCTAAGATAGAGTACAGGCTCGGCAAGCCAAAGTAAATACAAATACACTTCGAATGCCGGCTACCTTTGCTCCCACTCCGCTACTTCTTCAACTCCCAGACTAATAACAACAACGGCAGCAGCAACGATAACACTCGGAAACGACGCGTTTTAGATTCGTTGGTGCTATTTTCGTTGTAATTCTTTGTCCTCGGTAATGACTCCCTTTGCTTTATGGGCGTACCAACTTATTATTAATTTTCTCTATTTCGATTAGGGATAATGGGACAACCAACTACTACATAAAACCAACCATCAAAACACAACCGCACGCAACGAAAACCACAGCCGTAGTGCTGCAAAATACGCGCTCAGCTCGATAACGATAAAGTCGTTTCGTGAGTGTTGCAAAGGTAAACGCAACAGCTGATCGTTGAACAGCTGTTTGATTGGTTCTGCGTACTAGCCTCGGCAAACACAATAAAAATGTCGAAGTGTTGAGAAACATCATCTCGTAGAGTGTTGAACAACACACGTGCGATACATATGTCACGCTGACAAGAGTACAAAGTTAGAAAAAGTTAGAAACATAAGCAGAGCACGGGAAACGCACTCGTTTCCCATTTGTGTTGTAAGCTTCAATAAATTGACATCTGATTGATCGTAAATTAGTAACTAACCTTGGCAAGGCAAGCGATTAAATTCCAAAATGAGTGACGACTACTTAAGGAAACCGTTTTCATTAGCTCCCTCACCAGCCGGTAAGCAACGGCCGCCGTTGGCATTTATTACGCAATTGGACAAGCGATTACATACACGGTTTTTTGAATGAAAATCTATAATTTAATTGTTTGTTACTTGTGCATTGCAGTTGACGACACACAGACAACGGCAACAACCTACACACCGGCAGCGAGCACATTCAGTAGTGCTCCCGTCTCGCCATACCTCAACTATGATTCACGATTCCTGCAACAGGCGCAACCAGAATTTATATTTCCCGAGGGCGCCAACAAGCAGCGTGGACGCTTTGAGTTGGCCTTTTCACAAATTGGCACATCTGTGATGATTGGTGGTGGCATTGGCGGTTTGGCGGGGGTCTACAATGGCATTAAAGTTACTAATGCGCTCAATCAGACGGGGAAGCTGCGTCGTACCCAGTAAGTGATTATGCGACCATTCGATTATCTCGTATATTGAATGCACTCTTACTTTCTGTACGTATATGCTAATGTCTGTTTTATTTGTAGATTAATCAATCACGTCATGAAACAGGGATCCGGTACAGCGAATACATTAGGTACGTTGGCTGTGCTGTACTCGGCGTGTGGTGTGTTGCTGCAGTATGTCCGGGATCAGGATGATAATATAAACACCATCATAGCCGGTTCTGCCACAGGCCTGCTATACAAATCCACAGGTGACTTGGCTAACTCCTTACAAATATATTTAATCATTTTATATTTAAATTATTTGTATTTTTAGCTGGCCTGCGAAAGTGTGCATTGGGTGGAGCTATTGGATTGGGCATATCATCGCTCTATTGCTTATACCTGTTGGCGCAAGAAAGCAACAACACAAACTCAAGTCCAAAATTCCTGTAGGCGAGATGGCGGCGTAGTCCTTAGTAAAAGTGAATAGCTATAGCTGCCAACCTAACTGTGGCATATGGCGGAAATATGTACACATGAGTGCTTGTGTAGGGATCGCTTCGCAGCGCTTAACCGTCAAATATAGTTTGTTTTATATTATAAAAGAAATACACACACATTACATATATGTATATATATATAATATATACGTATATGTATATATATATTTAGATTTATCTGGACACAATATAAGAATTTCCTTTCTAGTTTCAATGTTAAAATCAACATTTGGCACACCAAAATTCTTGTTGCAGATAACCAAAAAAAAATCATGTAAATCAAATCGAGCTAATAAAGTGGTATGCTTTAATTGCAACTTGCCATCAAATGAAAAGCTTTATTGTAATAAATGCGCCAAGACATTGTACTACAACTAAGATGTTCTACTACTACTATTACACATTGTTATCTACGATCGTTCAATAGTCGAGTGCGCCAGTGTCATCATTAGTTAAGGCTAAAACCTTAGCGCTTTTGCGTTCGTCCACATCATTGTTGGCTGGCGCCTCGCAGCTGGTGTCCTCCGTGGAGCAGGTCTGGCAATGACAATTAACGGCCTCCATATATTTGTATTTGCGTATGCTGTCGTCCGCCTCGGGATGACAGTTTTTCAGCGTGGCCACCGATGGCTGGCGTTGCGCATGCACACAGACCGGATGGAAGGAGCGCTTGTAGGGGAATTTCCAATCGGATATCTCGCTGGAATCGCAACGACCCCAACAGCTCCAGACGCTCACGAAGTCCCAGCACTCGCGTCCCTGCAAATCCGACTGAGTCACGCGATACGTGTACAAGCGTCGATGGCAACCGAGTGGCGCAATTGTAGGGCCAGTGTAAACCGGCTGCAGATCAACCAATTGGGCAGTGCCCACACGCAGCCAAGGCGAGGCCAAAAACACCAACGGTAGCCTGTGTATATAACAGTTTATAGATATGTATATGACAGTTAGCAAACTTTCAAATTACTGCAGTTTTACGTAACTTACAACACTGCAAACATTTCAAAGCTTTCTGTTATTCACTTGGCTGGAGCTGCTGTTGTATGCGTGCTGCTTGCGTCGCAGTCGGCTGCGTTCTGTTGAATGCTCTCAGCATCTATGCGTATTTATACCTGAGGCGGCAGCTGCTGCGTCGCGGCGACTGCGCATCGGTCAGCCCTTGGCTTGGAATGGTTAGCCTAAAAATAAACTTGATTATTGCTTGGAGTTTGGCATATGAAATCCAATTGGACTTCATTTGCAGTTAACAATTTGAATTTCAAATTGAATTGGATTTAAGGATATTTTTAGAGAAACATCATTTAGTATTATTAATATTCTGCATTTTATTGTGTATGATGCAAAGAATTTTGTAATACCATAAGAAATTTGGATAACGGAATTTTCGTGGTGAAATGGCCGAAACGTCATTATTCTGGCAACAAAACATATTTCGCGCCTCATATTATGCAATAAAATTTGTAGTTAAGTTGCCAAGAATTGTGTGAGCTATCGAAAGGTTAATAAAAAAAAACGGTTTCTATGGACGTGGGCCACGCTGCGAATTTCTGCACCAGAATACCTTTACCCACGCTAACGCATCCTCTAGTGTTGTGTGTACGTACGCCTCCAAAACATATTCGTTGGGCAAATTCGCCGGTGGTTATTAAATCTCTAAGGGGTCACAGCCGGTTTGAAGGTAAGAAGGGTGAGAGCAGGGGACAGGAGACCTGTTCGCTATGTCAGTATGGTTCAACGTTGGCCACCATTGCGCGAGCGGCGCCTACGACCGACGACGTATCTCATGATGCGAGCCATAGCGCTGATTACGCAGCTGCACCCGAAAGCGCCGATTATTGTCGGGGCCCCGATCCTCAGCCTGGCGATTGAGGTTGGCGGCGGGCAGGGCGGCTGCATCGATAGCAGCAGCTGCGGCTACAGGCGCTATGCCAGGAGCTGGCAGCGGTAAAGCTGCCTGCTGCGGCAACTGCAGCTCCTCACCATCGACATCCTCATTGGGACTTTCATCATCTAAGTCATCCAGGGCCGGATCATTGTCAACCATCGACTGTGAACGGTTCGTGCTGCCAACATCTTCGCGCGCCATTGCTGTGGCCATTAGACGCTGACGCCGCTCCTCCATCAGGCGATCCCGCTCCTTGTGTATGTAGTCGCGCTTGTTGGGTAGCCCAGCCACATTGTTGGCCGATAGCGCGGAACGTACAATATTCATATCCGTTGCCTCCATCCATTCGTCCGTTTCGGCTACGTAGCATTCCGTGTGCGAGATGGTGGAGACGCCATTGAATCCCCCAATGGCAAAGATCATGTCATCGATTATCTCCAAACCGAAATTGCTGCGCGAATGATTCATTTGGCGTATGAAATGCCACGATTGGGTTTCCGGATCAAATCGTTCGCCAGTGGACAGTCTGGATGTGCCATTGAAGCCGCCAATGACATAGAGCTGATCTCTGAACGCTACACAGCTGACGCCGGAGCGACGATGATTCATATTTGGTATGCGCGTCCAAACATTGGTCAGCGGATCATAGTATTCGGCACTATCCAGGCACTCCTGCCCATTGAATCCACCCGTTGCATAGATGCGTCCATGCAGCGTGCAAGCGCTCGCATCGGACCGTTGCATGTTCATGGGTGGAATGATTGACCACTGATTGGTTTTGGGATTGTAGCGTTCGACGGTATTGAGGCGATTGTGTCCGTCGTAGCCGCCAATGGCATAGATCATGCCACTTAGCTCCGCGACGCTGACATAGCAGCGGCGGCAGTGCATGGGGGCAATCTCGTTCCACTTCTTCTTGACGGCATCAAAGACGCGGCAGGTGTTGAAATATTCGACGCCATCATAACCACCTATGGAATAAATTTTGAAGCCAAGTACGGCGGTACCGTGGTAGGCGCGTGGTCCAGCTGGATCCTCGGCATTGATATTAACCCAACGGTCGGCACGTGTATCATAAGTCTCGATGCAACCCTTCGATGTGCCACCACTCCAGCCGCCAATTGCGAAAATGACCTCGTGGGGCAGTCGGGGCATCGCCAGCGGTGGTGTCGTTAGCTTGGGTTGAAAGGGCAAATCAAATGGCACGTATAAGTTGCTGCTGCAGGAGCAGAGGGGGTGTTAGCATTACCTCTTCGGCTTGTGGGTTAAGAAAGTCCAGATCATACATGAATTTAAAGGTATCGACTATCAGCGGCTTGGCAGCCTCGCATTGAATGACATAGGGATGCTCCTTGACCTCCTCCATGAAGCACTAAGGATTCAACATTCAATTCATATAATTAGTTGTATTTTAAAATTCTGAATATGGCTGGTTACCTTGGGGGTCATCAGACCAAGGCGCACGCCCGTCATCAGATGCGCCACATGCTGTTTACGGTTCTCTGGATCTCGGTCAATCCATTTGACGCACAGCTTCCAAACGTAATCCTCTTCACGTGTATTCAGCTCGTCATCACTAATAATGCTGTAAAAGTCCTTAATGTTCAAGTCTAATATGTCTGTATTCCGGGCGGCCACATCTGTGAAGTACCTAAGCGTATAATTGCGCGCCTTCTGATACAAGTCCTCGAGGAAACGGAAACTGCAAAATAGCACAATGCAAAATGTCAATCAATTAAAAATGGATTAATATTTATCCTTTCTCCTTGCAATTAAACGAGATTAGGATTGAAGGTGGCCATGCAGGATGTAAAGTGAAAGTAGATTAGTGAAAAAGTGAAAAGTATATGGTAATTGGAATTCATACGAACCGCGCAAACCCCATGATACTGACACAGTTCTCCGGGCTCAGTGTGTGACTGAGGTAGTCTTTGCACTGTTTGACCAGCCCCACCATACCCACATAGTCCGCACAAATGAGCAGCTCGTGCACGTTATCGTCGCTGATGTTGGTCTTGCGCAGGTAGGCGTATTGTATCACACAGTTCATGATGGACGCACTGATCCCCGGTATATGCACGACACGGCTCTCATCATTTCCCGCACCGGTGCGGCTGTTAAACCCCGTAAACTGTGCGCTGCCGGTAAACAGTAAACAGCAACAAAAATAAAATACAAAATACAAAATAAGTTAGCAAATTGCAATTATTGATTGTATTGGTAAGTTGTTGAAGTCGTGGCAAGCAATTTAGTTACTCCAACAAGCCTTTACTTCCACTGAAATGTAAATTGGCTGATCAATTTGTTTTAATCTTCATTTAATAATTACATACACACATACGAAAATGTAAACTCACGCATACTTGTGCACTGCCTTGACCGCTAGTCTGCATGTGTGGGTGAATATTTCTCTACTCGCTATGACATGTAAGATATGAACTGTGTAAGTAAAAGCGAGAGGCATACAGCTACAGTGAGGTGCATATCGCAAGCCCACCATGATCTTTTACATTTCCATGAGTGTGCTGCGGTATTCAGTTTGCGAAAAATGTTAGTATTCCCTGTTTTAATCTTTTTAAATAACAAATGGAAAATAATTAACAAGCACATTTTTTTTTGGGAAACTGAAGTTGCCTGATTAATGAATTATTTACTTTCATCTTTAATTTCCTACATGCACCCAAAGCCATTTGGATATGCGTTTTGTGTGTTTGTTTGCATGTGCGTAGCTATCATACTGAGTTGATGCTTGATTCATCATGAGGCTATGGCAGTTAAAGTGAGACGTGAGACTGAAGTAAATTGAGTGGGAAATAGAAAATACTTTTAGATGGGTGTGTAAAGTCTGTCTTTTAACGTGTGTGCAATTTAAGTTCTGTTTGCTATGCTTTTTAATAGCGTTGAGAAAATTAAAGTGTAAATTCATATTTATGTATGTATGCATATCAAAGGGTTTGATATTGCCAAAATAGTCAGCAATTACCAGCGTTAACAACATTCCTCAACTCACCGAAAATATGAGCTGCAGGAACACATGATGGCACGGTGTACATTGAAGGACTGCTCACCCACCGAGATCTGCGCGTCGCACAGAAGATTCGCTTCGCGCAGCTCGTTGAGCACGTTGAGAGCATGATCGCTGACAATCGGTGATAGGGACTTAGTGGATGGCTTCTGTGTGGGATTGTTTTCAAGTTCATCCCCTTGATAGCTACCGTCCATGTCCACGTCCACCATTTCAATCGGTGCCAGTTCCAGTTGGCCCTCATTCATGCCATGTAAATGATTACCGTTTTGCCGATTCATAGCGTAAGCGAGCCAGCGATTTTTTTCTCGGTTGGGTCTGAAATCCTGGTCCTTGTCTAGATCGGTAACATTCGATTTATTATGTGGAAAAGAAGCAGGTTTGAAAATGGATTTACAACAATTTCATATGGATGCGACGATTGT